ACCCAAACCATTCTATGATTCTATAATTACAATATCTACTTGCACGATTTTCCTTGGAGCAAGGATATTACAATGGCCACCTCCTAGCTTTACAGTTGGATCCAATCAGTCATTTCCACTAATTTAGATGGGTTCTAGGAAAGGAAATGCAGTACTTAAAGCCTACTAATTCTTGCTACAGTCTATTTTAAATGTAGTTGCAACAGTAGTAGATGTTGGATGTCACCAAGCCCACAGATAAGTGTATGGAACATTTGTGGGAGTGTATTTCAGGTTTGTGAACATATTCTTAGTGCCAACTTTCATTAAGTTTTGATTGAAAAAGAAAATTGGAAACTGAAATTAGCTATCTTGGTAACTGGAGTGTCCCTAAAAAGTTAAGGGGCACTCATAGCCTTTTAAGAGGTTTAAAAAAAATACCTAATTTTAGGTAATAAATGAGATTATGCTTTTTATAAACCTGTCAAGATTATTTCATAGTTTGAGGTAGATGATGTTTAGAATGTGTATATACTTCTGCTGCAAAGCAAGGAGTGTAAATCCATGTTTTTAAGTGGAAAATGAAGGTGAAGTAGAGATGTTGCCACGTTTCCTGGTATTGTTAATTCTAGTCAAGAAGATTTTTGCAGATTGAATTCTTGAGTCTGGATCTGTGTAAACTTTTGTCAGGCATAGAAGAGTATTTTGATTGTGTGTACATATATATATATATGTATGTTTGCACATACACAGTACATTAACAAAAGCAGATCTTTCAATCTGGTAGGTAAATAATTTGCAAAATAGGAAGGTTTTCAATCATAGAAACTCTTCGCTTAAAATTTCATTGTGATTTGGGTAAACAAATGTTAGATACTCTCATGTTTGCTTAATCTGACTAACACTGGGGAAAAAGAGCCTTCCACTTCTGTCTGTGTAGTCTAGCTTACTCCAGTAGCCAACAACAGGAGCTCTTACGGATATTTTCTTCTCTTCCTGGCCTGAATGAACTGCATGGGGCCATGTCCTCTCATCACAAAAGATAGCCAGTCTTAGCTTAGAAATAAGGCACTGAAGAGCAGTGAATGTCTTACCCTTGGAAAAATGCAAGGCTTTGGTGCAGGCTCTTGGAAGATACTTGTAATGGCTCTGCTCGGTTCCCTGTGTACGCTCACTCCATAAGCAACTGCGGTGGCACCTGAAACTGCCTGTTTACTGTGGATGCTGCCTCTGCAGCAGCATAAGGGAAATGAAGCATGCGAAGACCTCCAGAAATTCAGGGTAAAGTCTGGTCACTAAGTTAGGTCTTTGGTGGAAGGTGATCTTGGCCCAGAAATGCCTGAAGGATGCTTATGTCTTCTGGTGCTGTCATGAGGGCAACCGAAGGGAAAAGAATTCAGAAAGTAGTCAACCAAGAACAAATAGACTAATAATATCTTCAATCTCTGCAGCTGTGAGTGAATAATGTAGCTAAGTGCCTAAAAAAGCTCTTCTGATTCATTAACCTCTGCCCTCCCCACCACATCCCCCAAAATTTCAGTGCATTCTAAATCATAACTATTTTAATTGGATTTTTTGGGGCAGCTTCATCCTGCGGTAACTCAGTGACTGCTTATAGATTTGCCAGTGAGACCTTGGCATTTAGGAGCTCTCCCTACTATTTTGCTGCTTTCTGGAAAACTTCTAGCTGGTTCTTATGGTTGGAAACTGATACTTCCATTCCCAACTTTCAGATGTGCTGTTGCAGCCTTTGCAGATAGGGAGTCTTGAGCTGCGCCTGGGTTCTGAGCACCCCAGGAGTCATTCGGGGCCATCTTTTAAAGATTGCCACAAATACAGAAATAGAATAATATGGTGTTTGCCAGTTAGCCTGGGAGCACCCTGACCGTGAACCTAGGAGAAGATAAAGTGCAGGAAACTTGGTGCAGCTCAGACAGACCGCTCAGTCACAATGGTTTTAATAATAAAAGGAAATGTCCTTAATAATGTCTTGCCCTGTAGTTATGATTCAGTCCAAGAGGTTTGTTTCTTTCTGCATATCTCAGCTGTCAAGTTGTTTGTCTACATAGTCATGAATTCGGATCTTAGCACACTCCCTGTGGCCCTAGATTTGTCTTTGGAGAAGAGGACTTTCCTTCCTTCTTCAGAGTTCCCATGTGAATTCGTTTTGTTCACCCTTCTTCCCTGCCTATCCTGACTGTTGTCCAGATAAGCCACTCAGGCAAAGCTAATGTATTATTTCCTCTGCTAAAGCAGTCTCAAGCATCTGTCTGTCTGTCTGTCTGTCTACCCATATCTATTTATGGATGGTATTTTTATTTCTATATGTATATATTAAAAATTGTGTATACATGTTCCTTCAGCTTCTTTGAAGTAAGATTTTTGGGGGGAGCGTGTTGCAAAAGGAGAAGGGGTAATGGTTTTAAACTAAAGGAGGGGAGATTCAGGCTGGACACAAGAAAAAGTTCTTTACAATGAGGGTGGTAAAACACTGGCACAGGCTGTCCAGAGAGGTGGTGGATGCACCATCCCTGGAGACATTCAAGGCCAGGGGGGATGTGGTTCTGAATAGCCTGATCTAGTTGAAGATGTCCCTGCTCATTGCAGGGAGGTTGGACTAGATGACCTTTGAAGGTCCCTTCCAACTCAAACTATTCTATGGTTCTGGTTTTCACATCTATGATCAGTATAACTGATGAAAGAGTAGTGATGCTGTAAGTATTGTAATTAGTGATTATTTAGTCACAAGGGTACACATCAGTAGGGTATTGTATAAACAGTGCTTTTTATAGTAAAATTTTGTCATTCATTTTATTAGAAGCTCATGTGCTTAATGCTTGCAGTAAAAGGTTGTATGCTTATAACCTCTAATAACCATTTGAACTTGTAACAAGCAAATGTAAATGTTCTTTTAGTGAAAAATGTGATGAGATATTAACAAATGTATAGTGTCAGTTCTAGAAATTGATATAAAGTAGCAGTAGCCTTGCTCAAGGATTCTTACTTAACCTCATTGAAAAGCGTAAGTGCCCTTCAAAATAGTATGATGTTTGCACTAATGTGGCATTTTCTTTTTTAACTACAGTTAGAACTAACTTTCAGCTACTTGGAAATCCAAGGAGTAACTTCCAGTAAACCAGGTCAGGTGAGTGTATTCTAGATAAGATACTTGTTCACTCATTGATAAATCTGTTCCAGTGAAGGAGGTAATGCTCTAACATGCAGGTCTCCCTCTCCAGTGATATGTTTGCATTCTTAAATTCATACTGCTTTGAAGTTTTTAACAATAACGGTAAGGATTTAAAAAATCAATTTTAGGAATGTGTTGTGCAGATGGGATGATGATAAGAAATACTTTATTTTCTCTCTCAATATGGCGGCAGTTTTCATTTGTCTCATAAATGAATATTTTTCTTGGAGATGAGGAAACAATGGCAGCTGGTACACAATCATCACCACCCAAGCTTGAATGGCTTCTGTGGCGTATACCTTTGCAGCGAAGCCAAAAGCTACGGAAGCTACTACTTACGTTGCAGGCAGAAACGGTTTCCTTCCAACTACTCATGGTGCCATTACTGCATGCAACACAAAATATATCTGACAGCAAGTTGTGTGCCCAAAAAAGTGAATGTCAAAGAGAAGGTGCTGAAAAGAAGAATGCCTTCAACACATTTTTAATTCATAAGATGAACATGTTGACAATATTTGACAGTTCAATTGTATCAAAATTCTTCATGTGTTTCACGTGTATTTGGCTTTTTAAAAGCCTTTTAAAAATAGGAGTGCCTGACATTCTCTTCGAACTCTGAAAAGCTCTCATTGTGTGTGGCATGTCATCTTTCTAGCCTCGCTTTTGGAGAAGAAAAAAAAAGTCTGGGTGTTTACTATTTTAATGGGAAGACATTTAGTAAATTCTGTGTATGTTTCTGTGGCTTGCTTTTTTTAAGGTACTGAAATGCTATGGTAGCTAATGCTAATTATTCCTGGAGGCATAGGCAGTCACTGTTATAGCAGGGTTTACAAGGGATTTTCAGCAGCCTCACTTACATACCATTCTCCTAAAACATTTTTTAAGGTTTTACATGTTTACATTTACTTGTGTTCTAAATGTGTAAGCTTATAGCTGAAGGCAGGCAGAATCCTAGACTATTGTTTGCTGGGCAAATCATATTGCTGCAGTTTTCCTGAAAATAGTGTGATATATCCATGATACCTGAAGGATGTAGTCTTATACTAGACATTTTGCAGAAAGCCATGGAAAGCTTCCTGCTATAAGAACAGGGAACAAATGGAAAATGTGTTAATATTGGTGACAATGAAAAAGAGTAGTAACTTGCCCACTCATCTTCAAGGAGCGATGGCAACAGGTTCAGAAAGGAGTTGAATTGGTGGGAAAAGGTGTGAAATTCTTGGTGTGCTTTTGGGATAATGCAGCCGCTTCAAGGATTATCCTCGTGATGATCCTGGGAACCAGTGTCAATAAAAACCAATCTTCTGTAGCATATTACACTGTGTATCCTCTTGTACTGTCTATCTATATTTCTTATTTATTCCTAATGTTAGCTTCTTACTGTGAGTGCACAGCTCCATATCTAAAAGACTTGGATTGTGCTAAATAGTCACATTGGAGAAGACAGAATCATTACATTGCTTCCTGTGATGCAGCAGGTCCAATGTGTCAGTCATACTGTAATCTGATTTAATTCTGAATACTTCATATATAATGGAGATGAGTTGCAAAGGCTTTATTTTTGCCTTCGCTGAAGCACGTATTCCCCAGACAGCAGGACAGTTACGTTGGCTGAGTTACTTCTTCATCTGAACTGAGGCAATATATTACTGTAACATTTTCTTAAACTGCTTAGATCAAAGCATTAGTACTTTTCCAGAGGATCACAGCCATTAAAGACTTTTACTTTTTGCTGGAGAAAGCAGGTCTTGCTTGTTCAGTAGTTTCCTGTCAGGCTGCGCTTGCTTCTTCTGGTGTTCTGGGACGTGTTTCAAAAGAGGACAATGATGTGAAAAGTTCTTGGTTTTCCAAGTGCCAGCTGAGGGCAAGGTCCTTTGAAAATTTAATTCCCATGGGAAGCAGGGCACTGTTAGGAAAAAACAAAGTTTGAGTACGGGCGTCTCGTACATTCAAGAACAACTTTCAGGAACTTTACCTGGAGCATTGCTGTGTCATATCTTAAAGAATAACAGGTTCCTACCAGCACACAGGGCATTTAGCTGGCATTCAAAATGCTCTCGGTTTTAAATGGACACGAATTACATGATACCCAGTTCTTGCCTTCATGCCCTCTTATTTGCAGTTGATTATGGAAACTGAGAAATGCAGCATCTCCATGAAGATGGCGTCCTCGGAGGATGTGAACGAGGTGCTGGCGCACATCGGGACCTGCCTGAGGAAGATATTCCCTGGACTCTCACCAGTGTAAGTGTCTTCTAGGGCACCTCTAGTGGGAACAGATTGTGCAGCAGCAGTGACAAGCCACCACTTCTTGTCCACTGGTCTCTCCACCCTGACCTCAGAAATGCACTGAGGATATGAGAAACACCTTGAGGCGAGCACTAAACTTTTGTCCAGGTGTATGGCAAAACCAGGAGGCAGTGCAGAGCACTGGTAGGCTATGTGTGGCCTGTAGGGTGACAAGAGCCTTTGTTTTGAGGAGAGGATGCAGGTATTTGGTGTTTTGAGTTTTCATTTTACTTTATTGTCTCTCCAACCTCAGGTATAGCTTAGGTTCTGGGGTTTTGTTGTCATTTACTTCTTTTGGGTTTTGTGTGGGTTATTTTATATCCCCCAGAAGTAAAATCTGAGTTGGGAAAGGAGGGAAAAGTTCTGTTTACTTTCACTGTTTGTGAAATGATGCACATGATTGGGAGCCTTGTTCTTCAAAACTGAGCCCTGGGCAGTCTTGTCATATACTTTCCATGGTTCAACTGGCTCCTTGGATCATACGTCTCCTTTTCTAGTGTTTTTTTGTTCTGCTTCTTTCTGCAGTGCTCTTGCCTCTGGTGTTCTTTTGTATCTGTGCCTCTGAATTTTGTATCTTGCAGCAATTTTCAGTAGTTTTTCTTCATTTCATTTTCTTTCTTCTGTCTGTCCTTGCTTTGTCTTCATCACTGTCTACCAGATCACGCAGCTCTACTATTACTTTCTTCAGCTCCTAGTTTGCAACAGTATGAAAGAAAATGGACTGCAACAGAGTTTTCCTGGACATATTGTTTTTTATAAGTCAACTTTTGTAACAGACATTAGATGTGAATAGTCACACTAAATTTAAATGTTTTCTTTTGGGTGCATTCACCTTTCCTGTAGGTGGAGTAGGAAATAAAGTTCATAAACTCTGTCTGGCAGTTTCTTTTTTTGACTTCCAGTGTTCCTCTGTGGCAGTATTATTAACTGCCTTAGTGGAGATTGAGCTCTTCCTTCAAAAACCATGCATTCAAGTAAATATTTGTGAGCAGGTTTGCCATAAAACCTCAGTAATGATGTGAGAAATACAGGCAAAAAGAGTAGAGCAAAGAGGGCTGCAAGGCTCTGCATGTTTGGGTGTCTGTGAAGGCCTTGAGCTCTATGCATGTGTTCTCTGGCCTTCCTTGAGAACAACAATACCATGTCTCTTCCCTATTTTGGGCATCCTTGTGATAGACGAGAGACACAAATCTCCTTAGCATGAGTGATCCTGTCATAAAAAGGGGGTTAGTTGCTCCAGTAGTCACAGGGTTAACCACTGGAAAGAAAGAAGAGACAAATAAATGTTACTCCTGTTGGACTGCATCACGATGTGTGTGACTTTTAGGTAGAGAATTGAATTCTGTTAAAGATGGTAATTCTTCCTATACACTCATTTAAAATTGTACTTGAAGTAAACAAGATTTACGAGTTTAAAAATACTTTCAAAGTCATGAATGAGTTTTCTTTTTTTCTCCCTCCTCCCTTTGTATCTAGGAGGATTCTCAAGAAAGTAACTATGGAGCCTTCAGAAAGACTGGCTAATCTCCAGGCCCTGTGGGACAGTCAGACAGTGGCAGAACTTGGACCCTGTGGTGAGTATGAATTTAAAGGCTCAAATATAAAAAGGCTGGAATTGCAATGTCAGGAAGTTTAATTCTATTTCTGGCAGAAGCTTGTAAAGGTGTAATTAGTTTTAAGGTGTAATTAGTATGGGGCAGACTTCTGATTGGTAGATGAAGGCACTATATTAAGCTTTCTTGCAACCTACCAGGCAAAGATAGGATAGTCTCAGTTTCTTTCAGCAGCACAGTAGACACTGTTCTGAGAGAAAAAGAGAGTGAGTTTTGAAAGACTGGGTCTTTAAGAATAAGTATTGAAGTATCCTTTTAGATGTTTGTTTGCTGCTGTTACTACTCTGTTAACTGCTCTCTTGGGTTGTTTTTAGGGGGCTTTTCCCAGATGTATGCCTGCGTTTGTGATTGGCTTGGATTTCCCCTCAAAGAGGGGGGACAGGGG